AAGGAGCCCCCAGCCGAGAAAAGCAAGGACAGTGGCTCGGTGAGTCTCCATCCCACATGCCTTTGGGCCACGCAGAGTCTCAGACCCACCCCCGTGCCCACCACCCCGGCGAGTCCTGTGCTGTAGGGAGGTTTGTCTGTCTTCAGGCTGCAGATGGGGGTGACAGTCTTAGCAGGGCTCCTTTTCACAAGGTGCGTGTTTAGGGCGGTGTTGTCCGCAAAACCTTCTGAGATGGTGGGAATGTTTTGTATCTGCTCTGCCCAGTATGGGAGCCACTAGCCTCATGTAGCTGTTGAGTGCTTGAACTGTGGCTAGTGTGACTGAGGACCTGGATTTTAAATTTTATTGAATTATAATTAATTTAAATACAGGTGGTAGTCACAGGAGGCTGGTGGCTGCTCTCTTGGACACACAGGTTCCACCTCCTACGTGCCCAGTGTGTGGTATATGTAATTGCACGCAAACATTGTTTTAGGTGGCACCTTGATCATTTTTTTACATTTGTAGTCATTATGTATTTATTTCATGTCTATTAGGAAAAAAGCAAGTCATCCCAGCAGTTAAAACCCTTTGATTTCATTGATATTATTGCCTAGTAAGAGGTTAAGGTGAAATAAAAGTGAACTGATATAATTTGATGTAATATGCAGTCAGCCCTCCACATCCGTGGGTTTCTCATCCTTGGATTGCAACCAACTGAAATTCCGTCCATGTTTGGTTGAATCCATGGATTCGAAATCCTCGGATACAGAGGGCCCACTGCATTCACCGTACTAGGCCTTTTTTGTGTATAAGGAGCTGGAACATCCCCAGATTTTGTTACCCTTGGGGACTCCTGAAACCATCCCACTTCGGGTACTGAGGGACGGCTGTGCTTCCTTTTGGGATGTGGCAGAAATCTCGGGTGGGCGGTAGGTCAGAGAGGGGAGCTGAGGACCAGTGTTCTTGAAGCCGCGGCTCTAGAGTTGAGTGAGGAGCCCCCAGTGCTGTGTTTTGGGGAGGTAGAGCAGAAAAGGGCACAGGTGCAGGGCCCCCCGGCTGACCTGGCCTCCCCCGCCTGAGCACGCCAGGCAGAGGGCACGAGGGTGCTGTAGGGGCCGTGACGAGTGCCCCCATGGATCCCTGGGCTTCCCTGGGGGGGCTGCATTGGCCCCAGTGTCTTGCCTCCATCTCTCTCTTTTTGTATTTCTAGACCCTCGACCTTTCTGGCTCCAGGGAGACGCCCTCCTCCATTCTCTTAGGCTCCAACCAAGGCTCTGGTATGTTGCCCCCTGGTGGGCGAATGGTGCTCTCACGGTCCACCCGGGCAGAGGGGAGCCGTGTCCTCAGGGAGAAGATGAAGGGTGTAGGGCTGTGACTTTCAAGCTGTGGGTCCTTAGGGATCCTTGGGGGTGCCCTGCACGGGTCAGCGGGGGTGACGGAGTGGCGGGGCAAGGTGGCTTTCAGGCACTTGTCCAAACGGATCAGGATTTACCTGTACTTGTTTGATTTCTTGGGGTTCCACATCAAAGACATAGGGTTCCGTTGCTGACCTGGGGTGGCATAGAAGATGCATTTGGGTTGGGCAGTTCGTCTGCCCTCAGAGAAATGACCACAGGAAGTGAAACTATCCCTGAGGTCCCAACGCCTGCATTTAGTGGATGAGGGTACTTGAGCATTCAGAGGCAAAAAGAAACTTGTTATAGGTAGATGATCATTCTGTAAAACTCTTTCTACTTGAGGGATAACCTGGTAGGCTGTTTTGGGGGATTATCTGACACAGACTTTTGGTTTTTCCCCTTCTGTGCAGTTTGAGCTGTCCTCTTTTCTAGCCCAAAGGGTCTTTCCCCTGCACCCTCCTAAACTGGTTTGAGGGCGTTCCAGAAGGGTTCAAAGAAGGTGTCTTCAGTGAGGACAGTTCTGCTTAATTCAAGGTCCTTCAGCTCTAGGATCTTTCTCTCTGCCGGGTCACTCTCTTCAACTGAAAACCAAACATTTTCTTTTAGTGCATAGAGGAAGAAGGGATGTCCTTTGTTAGGGTGGCTGGAGAAAGTTTCCTGAAGGGCTGTTAAGTGGGATTCAGGTTCGGGGTGCACCAGGGGCAGTGACACGAGCTGACTTCATGAACTTGGCATTAAATGCGATGGAACCACCTGTTGAAAACACTCTCTTCTCACTCCCCCTTCAGTCCTCTGGTTACATCTCTGAGAACAAGTTGAGTTTGGTGCTAAGGTATCTTTTTCATCCCTTTGATTTCTTCTTCTTAGTCTTCTTTTTTTTTTTTTTTTTGATATCTGTCTTTTTAACTTCAGCAGCATGGCACCCACCTAGAATTTTCTACTACAATTTGGTTTTCATTATGTTGATTTGTAGAGTTGTCTTCTATGTATGGCAGGTATTATTGCTTTCCTGCTTTTTGGCGATGATACAAGAGTTTCTCTTTGACTTAAGTTGAAAATGAGTTTAAAATAAAAGCACGAACTGAGGGGACGTGTCAAAATTGCAAAGGTGGAGTGAGAAGGGCGCAAGTTGGAAATACTGCTGCAGGCAGGGGGTGCTGTTGAGGTTTTGGAGCAGCAAAGTGGTGCAATCCACGTGGGAAGATTAACGGGCCTTGGGAAGATTAGTGATGCCCTGGGAGTATGGAATCTGTTGCAACAGGGGAGCTTGTGTGCAGGAAGGCGGTTGGGAGACGCATCGTACCCCAGTTCCGAGGTGGATGAGATGTTACCTAGCCCAGGGGTTGGCAGACTTTCTGTAAAGGACCAGAGTAAATATTTTAAGCTTCGAGGGCCACACAGTTTCTGTCAGAACTGCTCGACTGCCGTTGTCGGATGAAAGCAGCCACAGATGACACACAGAGAGATGGGTGGGCCTGTGCTCCTGTGAACCTGTACTTGGAAAAACAGGCACTGGCCTGGATTTGGCCCACGGGCCGTTGTCGGCTGACCTCCCCATCCTTCTCGACCTGAAGCACCCTGGTATCCGAGGGGGTAGAAAGGGAACTTGGAGAGAGGGAGCCAGGAGCCTGGAAGACGCTGGTGACTTGGCGCCGGGGTTGGGGAGTGGGGAGAATATCGTCCCGAGGAGGCTAATGATGAGATGGGGGAAAGCAGGGAGGGAGGGAAAGGTCCCACATTGTCAGCAGCTGGAGGAAAAAGCATTTTTCAGGCAGTGCTGCCGTGTTATCTTGGAGTGTGGGCCGAAGGGAACCGAGCGGGAGGTCACTGGAGGCCAGGTCAGGACAGCGAGCTCCAGACTTCTCTCTTTCCCCTATTTACTCACCAAAGCACCCTGGGTGATGGTTGGCGGCAGAGCAGACAGACTGGCTCGTTTTCCGATTCCTCTTTACGTCTAATGGTTTCTGCTAGCTCTGCTTGCTGACAGTGTAGATGGAATCTTGTGGAGGAACGTGGGCTTTACAAAGATTTACACACACTGAGGTTTCTGAGCTCTTTATAGACTTCTGGAACTCGGCTGGTTAAGATGAGGGTCTGGTCGGGAGGGAGGAAGGTTTAGTAGGGGGTCTGGTCGGGAGGGGGGACGGTTTAGTAGGGGGGGGTAGGAGCTTCCTCGGGGTGGGCGTGGGCCTTTCCTGTTCACTGTCTCTTCGTTTTAAAATAGTAAAGCAATGCACACATATCCAGTTGACCCTTGAAGGGGTTTCAGCTGCACGGGTCCACGTATACATGGATCTTTTCACATAGTCAGCACGGTTCTACACGATCTGTGGTTCGTTGAATCCGTGGATTTGGATATGGAGGGCCGACCATGAGACTTAAGTGTCCATGGAATTTAGTATCTGTGGTGGGTCCTGGAACCAATCCCCTGTGCCATCCCTGACACCAAGGGATGACTATAGTTAGAGAAAATACAACTGTACTGGGAAAAACAATTCGTACTCTCAGTCTCCATGGCTGTCTTTGGGTACATCTGACACTTAACCTCCTTATTTGTAAATAATGTAAAATAACGTGTTTCCCCATACTTCTATTTCTGGACTTTATCTAGACGTTGCTTGTTGACTTCTGGCTTTAAAAGATGAGAATTGGGGTCTTTTATCACCTCTCTACTCGCCCTCCTCCCAAACTACTTATGTCGCTGTTTGATGTGCCTGTGGGTTACCTTGGTCAAGTAAAGCACTTGCTCCTTAGTTCTTGTTCTGTCAGCTGGGGACAGTATCTCTTGCCCCCTCTCTTGGTGCCCATCATCTCCCTCACCTCTCCTACCCCTGTCATATCCAGACTTGCCATCTTCCCACTTTGACTCTCCCATCACCAAGGTGGAGAACATGTGCATCTCTCCTGTAACTTCAGTTGGGTCTTCTCACTTTCGGCTGTTGGCTGAGCCTAAAAACTTGACATACGATAATCTGTGTTTCCATCATTCTGATCGTGCCATTTGTTGCAGATGTGTACTGTGATTACATTTCCACCTTTGTATATAGCCTTACTTTTCCCTGGAGTTTCTGTTTTTTTTTTTTTTTTTTTTTTTTTTTTT